GAAGACGACGAGTTCAAATGTGATTGCGGCTTCGAATGCGAAGACCGTGCTCATGTAGTCGCGGAATGTCCGTTGTAGAAGGAGAGGGAAGTGTACAACGTGACTGAGCTGGGAAAAATAGATGGAACGTACAGGGAGATGTTTGAGGCATGGAATAGAGAGGAAAGGACGGTAGCTGTACTGGGGCATAGGAGGTGGGTTGAAAAGGCGGGAAGGGATATCGTTAGGATAGACAGACTAGGGAAGACATTTTTGAGCCACCTTTGGCAAAGTAGGAAGGAACGATTGGCCATCGGTGATCGGTCCNCCCCCCCCCCCCCCCCCTCCTCTTAGTCCATGAAACAGAGAGGGGGGCTTCGTGTTCCTATCCCCTACCCTACCGCCCAACCCCCTACAAATACCAAGATCACCACCAGCGCGCCGGCTAATGAGTAAACTTATCACGGGCGGGACAAGCCACTTCCCCTTTCATTATATCTCTGCCTGTAGCTGCCACTGTGACACTCTCGCAAAGGTTGTCCAACATACTACACACAGTTACCAGCGTGGTTTTACCTAAGAGAAACATATTGAAGAGAGTGTTGCCGGCTTTTTCCCGAACCGATCATAAATCGCTACTCCACCTGGAAATTGTAAACGCCGTCCACGAAACCGTACGAGTTATGACTCGTGGTGATGAACGATTCCGCGGGGGTCAGGATGTCACCCCGCGGATCGTACAAGGACGTGATATTGGAGAACCAGCCGTCGGAGATCTGGAACTGGTTCACCGGAGATCCCAACGCCGATCCGAACATGTCCGGGCTGAAGATTTCGCTGGATGGCCACCTGCATAGATGGGTCGAGAGGTTACAATCGGAGACTGTAGGTGTTGTAGGCGTCCTTGAGTGCGCAATTTTCCGTCCCATTTACGTTGAACGACAGCCTTCTTCACTTGTATGTTTGACGTCCCCACCGGGGTCCCACGAGAGGAGCGCCACGCACGAGGTGTCAAGTAATGTTTTATTGGGAGGGCGACATTTTTGGGTAGGCTTGTGCTGTGTTATCTTGTGTGGAATACAGTAGCCCGACTCACCTCGTCCCGAGGTAGGCCGCGTCCAGCTAGTAGTCCCATTGAGGGAGCGACACTTTTGTCTTAATTGGGTGTGTTGCCTTGTGTAATAAACGGTAAGGACCAACTCAACCGGTCCCGAGTTGGGCGGCGTTCAAATGCAATCCAAGTGGGCGAGCGACACGTTTGGGTGGCGTCTAACGCGGGTGTGTTTGTCTTAATTGGGTTTGCTTATCTTGAATGAAATACGGTAAAACCAGCTCACTCGGTCCCGAGGTGGGCGGCGTCCAGCACGTATTCCCATTGGGGTAGCGGCACCTTTGTCTTGAATTGAGTGTGATTGTCTTAATTGGGTGTGCTCATCTTGTTTGGAATACCGTAAGACCAACTCACTCGGTCCCGAGGTGGGCGGCTTCCAGCATGTAGTCCCATTGGGGCAGAGACACCGTTGTCTTGAATTGGGTGTGATTATCTTGATTGGGTGTGATTGTCTTCATTGGGTGTGCAAATCTTGTTTGGAATCCGGTAAGACCCACTCACTCGGTCCCGAGGTGGGCGGCTTCCAGCATGTAGTCCCATTGGGGGAGAGACACCTTTGGGTCGATCTTCTGAAGGTTGCTCTCGACCCAAAGGTCGAAGGCGGCGTGAGCGTTCAGGAAGTGCATCCCGTTGTGGAAGCAGTAGTCCTGGGTGAGACACACCAGACATGGGAGGCAGACAGATACAAAGATAAACAAAAAATAGCGGACTCTTGACAAGTTGTTGCTGCTGTCGTCTGCACGAAAAAGCACAGGTCGATGCCTGCATCCACTTCCCCCTTTTGTGCTTTCCGAGGTAAAGCAAAACACTACAAATTTCCGTCCTGCATCGAGTGGTACGCCGAAGATAGAAAACAATGCCACGGACGACCTTTGCCCCGAGAACGTCCTACCAATGGCCCATTCTGACTCCTTCATATGTAGAAAAACAGGTTCGACGGTAGGTGTCGATTTTTTAACCTAGACAAGCTGGCCACCAGTCTTGACGCTTTCCAAGCTTCAACAGCTCACTCACACGGCTGACGCATTTTGGCGATCATACACCAACGAACCACCGCCGAATACAACAAACAACAGTAACCGNCCCCCCCCCCCCCCCGCGCGCGCGCCTATACATAATGCCTCTTTCGCATCAATGCAGACACACGGATTTACACTCTGCTCTGCCTTCACCCTCCCCCCAACGCGTACTGCTGATGCCTGCCCCCGGCCTACTCCTTCAAAATCCTCACCGGGCTGTTGTGGTACGCGGCCACGTGCTTGGCGTTGGAAAACCCTTCTCCGTACTTGTCCCTCCCCTCCTCCAGCGAGACCGTGTAGAACTCCCGCATGGCCGCGAAGAACCCGGTTCGGTCCTCCCCCGTCAGGCTCCTCAGCTCCCGTCGCACGTACTTGCACGTGATCGTGACCCGCGCCTCCGCTATCAGGGACCCGTCGGCCTCTACCTGCTGCACCAGCAGGGCGTACTTCTCGCCCGCGTCTGTGAGCGTAACGGTCGCCAGGGGGCCCGCCACCTTCGTGTCCACCAGGGGGGTCACGCCATCCAGCGGGGCCCCCGATCGGTCAGCCCGCACCAGCAACCAGTAGTAGCGCCTCGGCGACGACGACGACAACGGCGGCGACGGAGATTTCTCCGAGTTTTCGGAGTTCTCCGAGACCTCCGAGTTCTCCGATGGCGGGAGGCGGCGGGGTCGGCTGCTGGAGACCGTTATTCTGGTCGCCCGGTGGGGCTCCACCACCATCTCCAGCCCGTAAAGCGCTAGAGCCCCGCGGTCGTATTCCCCGTACTCGTTGGTGGCCTTGAGCTCCAGCCTGCCGGGGCCCTCCTCCCCCCGCCCGCCGCCGCCGCCCGCGGAAGAGCCGGAATATCTTTCCTGTGGAACGAAAAAAAGAGTATTTTAGCCGATGAGGCGCGAACTTGAAAGAGGGAGGGGGAGCCAGCCGTGCATGCCGTAGTCGATAGACAAATGACCTCGCATCCCTACGAAGTCGGGACGGAGCACGCCGGGTTGTCATCGAAAGCGGGGCGTTCGAGCGCGCCGATAATCACGTCTCCTTTCCTTTCTTCAACCAAAGGGACCAACGAGTGCTGCCGTTGAGCGCCCTGCAGTTCCCCATCCAGCGGCCGGCGGTGTAGGAATGCGTGTTACTCGGCCGTAGTTGCTTCGGCAACAGCAGTGCGAAGATCATCAATGCCCCGAACTCCTGGACCCGACTTTTTGTTTTGTGGTCGCAAGATTGGTGGGTATGTTATTCATCACCTCTCGACAGATTGGTAAGAGTCGATAGGTCGTTCTTCGCACTGCGGCAAGAGCTACGGGATGAGGCGCACGGCCGGCACGGCATGCTTGTCGGCTAAAGTTCCATCCAGCTATTTTGGCGCTTGTCTACACACCACCTCTCCGTGTGCATGCTTGCCTTAAGCCGGGGTCAAACGTGAGAAAGGTCTCACTAAAACTTCGTGCTTAGTACATCCATTCGTTTGTTCACGTTGTGGCTTAGACTGTACATTATCAAGACGAAATTGGGTGGCCTGTGACACTCCTGTGACTACGGAAGGTGTTCGTGTGTGACGGGTGTTAGGAGGTACTGCTCAGATAACGGGACCGGAAATTTTTCCGGTGGGGATCAACATCAACATTTCCACCACCTCCACCACCTCCACCACCACCAACAGCAACAACAACAACAACAACAGCAACAACAACAGCAACAGCAACAGCACCAACAGCAACAGCACCAACAGCGACAGCAACAGCAACAGCAACAGCAACAACAGCAACAATAACACCAACACCAACACCAACACCACCAACAGCAACAGCAACAACAGCAACAGCAACAACAGCAACAGCAACAACAACAACACCAACACCAACACCATCACCACCACCACCTCGACTACCAAGACATCATAAAAAGTGAGTTTTCCTCTCGCTTCCGCTCCTGGCCTAGTGGATAGCGCTAGTTCGTGTGTACACAGAAGGAAGACTCGCATTAAAAATCGAAGGCAAACTACCGCAGGAGGGGAGATTGGAGAGGGGCTCTTCTGTGTGACCACGGGTTGGAGTAAACGGCACCAGTGCTGTGAGCGCTGATTTGAAGTGAAGACAAATAAATAAATACTCCAAAATAAAAGAGTAAATAACAGCACCAACGACAATACCCATTTCGGTCTTCTGATTTTGGAAGAAACCTAACAGCAGTTCACATCAGTACCACATACAGTTCGTGGCCCCGGTTTAGCGGTCCATATTGTCGGAAAGTGTTGCAGCCGCTATTGAGGGCATCGCCGCTAAACTGGATTTGCAGCTGTATTGCAGGTTGAGTACCGAGGTGCAGCCTTGCCACGAGACCTTGGGACCGCTATTCAGGGCGTCCCGCTAAACAGGGAAGGAACTAACCGCTACCACCGGGACCACGACTGGACAAAAAAAAAAGCCTACAGCAGTACAAGTGGTCCCGGAAGAGTGCCGGTCGCCCGGAATACTGCTGGGGCAATCACCTGGCACAGATTGAATATCCAAGTTGTTTCAAAGCTCTGAATAATGCCGGTTGCCCGCTGTAATGATGCCGGTGAAATCGGCTGGATCGCACCGGCAATACACTGAGACCATTGCTGCTGTACTACTGTGTACCACACCTTTCCGAGAGAATACCCCAATCGCAGGGATGTGTCCGATAAAGTCATTGTTGAGCAACGAGTGTGTAGAAAAAATTACTGCTGGAAACGGCAAACGCTCGTGGTGCGCTATTGCAATGTACCTATACAACCCGGCGCGCCGCGCTCAAGCCATGTGACTATCTCCCGGGTATTGAAACATGAGAAGAATCCTTGAGGTTCAACGTGACTGCTGTTGTGGCGATGTCGGTGAGCACACGACATGTGAGGATGACTCTTAACCTCAGGAAGTGAGGCTTACGGACGACGTCAAGAATGAGTCCAAATGAAGCACACTTACAACTTGGAGTGGGTACGATGGATACTGGAGGAGGGTCTACCCTGGATTTGAGGACGGCATTTTCTTGTTTCCATCGACAGCGCCAACCGGTTGACCAACGACAATACTGCTGTGTTGTTGTTTGTCACATTAGCTCTAAAGTCCACAAAAAATGGGAAGCCCGTGGCCTCCAAACCCGGCACATACGACGCCGCGGGGAAACAAAACAAAAATAGGGTACAAACCGCTCGGAAAGAGAAAACAAAATTATAGAAAGCAAAGAACAGGAATCGCACCGACCGTGCGAGAAAAGGGCCCTCGGAAACCGATCAAAATAAAACAAAACACAAAAAATAAAGGAGGACGCTTCCCACACCCGCCCAAAGAAAAAATCCAAGGGTAACGTACCAGCACCAGGCACTACGCACCAGGGCATGGGAGTAACGCAGCAAACAGACAAAGAGGCGGCAGATGGGCAGATGGGCAGACAGCCAGACTTACAAAAACAGAGGCAACAGCAAAGCGAGCTGTGCGTGTTTGTCCGATCTATTGTGGCGCCAGTTTACGGTACCACATTGGATGTTGGATAGTTTATCCGAGATTTGCGGACGGCATCTACGGGCTGTAGATATGAAAATATAGATTAGGTAAGCCTGAAGCACGCCTACTGCTGTACGGGGTGGGTTGACTGGCCATTGCATTCGTGCGATGGTTGCAACAAGCACGGCTTGCTTCGTCGACCTATCGAAACGTTCCAGAGGATAGAGGTCGAGCGGCAACTCTTAACCTACCTGGTAGATAATATCCTGGCGCGTGAAGGCGCGCTTGATGTGTCTGCCAACCGCAAACCGCAGCAACACAAGCAGGAAGACCTCAGGCAGAACGTACGACAGCAGTTGGGTATTTGTAAGTCTAATCTCGTCAACAGCCAGCCATGCTCGCCGTCACAGCACTTTTCGGAGAAAAAGGAACACAGCAGACGGTGCAATCTTCCAACACATCGGTTGCTGGAAGACGTGGCAACCGGGTGGGTGATGCACGTCGATGGCCAACGGACGGCATGTAGCGCCCGCTACATACAGGCGGATACAATGCGTAGCTTCCGAAACATCATACAAACAAACCTCGAAGGCTTCGAAGATTCCGCGGTGCGAGTTGCTTCCGCTGTCCTGCAGATGCTGGCCATCACGAGGGCTTCCACCGGCCAAGCGCCAAGAGTTCGAGGTCGAGACAGCGGCAACGAACGCGACGAAGACGGCGGCTGCGCCCACGGCCCTCTTCCAGCTGAACATCCCCCTGACCCCCACAACCGCCACCCGTCGATCGTCATATCTCCTTCCGATCGGGCTGTAGCCCCGCCTGGTCGCGTAGGCCCGTAAGAAGGGTGGCACGCTTCCACCGCCGTTCATGCCATCGCTGCAGGAAAAGCTATCGCTGCTGTACATCATTTTTGCCCCGGGCTTTCCACCCCCAGGTACCTGTGGCACCACACTCGCCTGCTGCCGGTGGGGGTGCCCGTACAGGCAGGCAGATCTTTCTCCTTCGGTGGTGCTGTCTGTCGTTGCTGCCACTTCAGCTTCTGAGGGGCACCAAGCCGGTTACGCGAGAACAGGCAAAAGAGCTCGCTTTCTCCCAACCCAAGCTTAAGCGTGATGCCCATCGGGCGGTCATGCGTGACGAGGGAGTACGGCGTCAAGCGGCATGTAAGAGTGCAAGGCAACAGTGGCGTTTGGGGTGCCGTGCCTGCGCTTTTTTTTTTTCATGATGGTGTTTTGTTCCTCCGCCCGGGTTTGCGTGTCACTCTGGGTCTTCTTGGCTCTATTTTTTTCTCGATTTCTTTCTCGTGTTTTGAGCGGTCTGAGGGGCGAACGATGATGCCATCGCTGTTTTGTGCACACACGTGTTGGTTGTGATACTTTCACTACCGCTCCAGCTTTCGCTGCGTGCGTCACTGTAGCTGTTGGGGTGTCATGATGCCGTGTTGTGTCAGCAGCATGAGATGTGGCGTGATGCGTGATGCGGTGTAATCAGGCGATGCGGCGTGATTGTGCGCTCGGGACTGTGTTGCCATCGTCAGCAGTCAGCAGTCACTCATTATGGACGATGGTTCAGACACACACCTCTCTCTTCCCTCCGGCCCTTCCCCTTCCCCTGGTGAACCTATCTTTCTCAGGGATTCTTATGCTTCCTCGCCTCCTTAATATGTGTCCTGGGTCCAGGCCCTGTATGTGTGTGTGTGTGTGTCTTTTCGTCCTATTTATTATGGCGACAGTCCCCTCATTTTTCGTGGTGCGACGTGTACTAAACTTTTCAGCGTATGTAGAGTACTACACTTTTCAGTGTATTTTTCGTACAACTACTACAGCCATCCAGGGTCACACAGGAGGGGGTAAACACCAGGGCTTGTTCCTTCTTTTTATTTATTTTCAGTCCCCACCTTCCTCCTGCTGCGGTGCGTGCTGAATTTTATTTTCATCGCGAGAACGGTCCAGCCGTCCCTTCCCTCGTCAACGGTGCTGACGTCGAAGTTTGGTACTCACGAGAGCTTTTTTAGCTATGTTTCGCTTTCACCCGCACATTTCGTAAATTTTTAACCCCATGGAGTTTCGAACTCACGACCTCTGCCACTAGCGAATTACGAGGATACCACCGGGCGACCGGTGACCTGTATGTCGCAAGCTGAATGCGACGAAAAATTACGCGTGAAGAAACTGAAAGAAGAATCCAGATATTTTTGTGCGGATATTTTCAGTGAACAACTTACGAATATATATAGCCAGTTTTTTTCTTCAGTTTTTTCAGGTCCGCCCACCTTGGTCCGCCGCCAGGTCTGCTCAAGACCAGTGGTTCGTGGTCTTGTCCGGCAAATTCTTATGGAAGATCTGCATGTTGGCTGGAAACCACAGAATCAGGCGGCAGTTCCCAGGCCAACAGAGAGCACCTCCTTGTCGGAAAACGAGAAAACGCTGGCGTCGAATCGGCAGACCACGAACTGACGGTTGACAGACCACCAACTGACAGTTGGTTCCTTTCGAACAACACACACATCCCCTTCGACCGCGGTCATGTCGGTGGCCTCTTTGTGTTTGTACGAGAAGAGGCAGACCGCGTGAAGCGACATAGTCTACACAGTTCGAATTGAACTCCTTCGCTGGCGATCCCCCCTCCCTCCCACGATGCCTTGGCTGTTGGTGGTGGCCCTGGAACTGACTGTGTCTGTTCACTTGTGATCGTGTTGCTGGTGTGTGGTTGCTGGCTGTGTGTCTGTTTCTTTGTTCAGAGCTGGAGGAGAGGGGAGTGGGAGTTGAATGTTGGCGTTGTTTAGCAGGGCAGAAAATCCGTTCTGGTTGATATCTGCAGTCGTCATGGTCGTTTCTGGTCGAGCAGATGTTCGCCGTTGAGTAGCCTGTGTGTCCCATGGTTGGATTGGAACAGGATGCCTGCGGAGGAAATGGTTCATGAGAGGGTCTCATTTCTCGTCAGGGTATGTGTGTGCTTTTATTATTAGCATCGACCGCGCTAACCGGCTGACCAATGAAAAGACGTCAGTCTCAGTGCGGCGGGAAACACAAAATGTTTCTATAGTCCACTATCTGGGACCCCGGGACCGAGCGTCGTAGGGGGAGGTATGTGTGTGTGTGTGTTTTCGTCCTATTTATTTGTCAGATGGCGACAGTCCCCCCATTTTTCGTGGTGAGACGTGTACTACACTTCTCAGCGTATGTGGAGTACGAATGTTTTCAGTGTATTTTTTCGTACAACTACAACCATCCAGGGTAACCAGTGGTCTAGTGGGTGACCTCGCAGCCTGCGAAGGGCCAGGTCATGGGTTCGAGTCCCGGCAGAATGAGTTTTTCTGTCACTAAATAAATGCTGGTGGTCTAGGATGAAAGCGACGCGCTGCAAAGCTCGTTGTTAATAGTAAACCATCATCGACTTCGTAAGTCGCGAGGGAAGGGATTGCTGTACCCTTCTCGCGATAAAAATACCTCAGGCAGGAACCGCAGGAGGGGGTTCAGCCCCCCCCTCCTATGTGTGACCCGGTTGGGTCGTCTTGCTAGTAGAAGTGGAGGATAGGGGCCAGAGGGGCAGACGACAGAGTCCAGTGATGGGAGGAAAAAAAAAAAAAACATCCAGGGTCACACAGGAGGGGGCAAACACCAGGGCTTTTTCCTTCTTGTTTATTTTCATGCCCCACCTTCCTCCTGCGGTGCGTGCTGAATTTGATTTTTATCGCGAGAAGGGTCCAGCCGTCCCTTTCCCTCATCAACGGTGCTAACGTCGAAGTTTGGTACTCACGAGAGCTTGTCAGCTATATTTCGCTTTCACCCGCACATCTCGTAAATTTTCACCTCATGGGGATTCGAACTCACGACCTCTGCGACTAAATAGCGGATTACGAGGATACCACCAGACCACCGGGGCGACCGATATATATTTTCCGAAATCAGGGTGAAGTTTCGGAGTAAAGTAACCTCGGCCAGGGTAGGCTATGGTCTACCCAGCGCGTTATAGGGCGGCAGGGCAAAAAAAGTGGGCTTTGAGCATTCAGCCTGCTGAGCTCATCCCGCGCTCGTCGAATACTATGTACCTAGCTGAGTCGCTCTTCTTGTACCAGGGTATATATACCCCGTTGTGTTGTGTTCCCTTTTATTTCGCTCTTGCCTCATGGTGTTTGTCGCTTTTTCCTAGGTACAGCGGTATCTACAGCAGTAGGAGCTCCAAGCCGTGGTGGTGCAGAACGTTTCCTCTCTCTGAGGCCCTCTCCCTCCCCACCCCCCTCCTGCGTGGCTTGCCTGGTAACACGACAAGAGTGGCACTCTAAACTCTCAAGTTTGCGACCGGCTAAAATAATCAATCGCAACCTCAGCGAAGGCAGCGAAGAGGGTCAACACGTCGACACCTAAACACGGAGCAACGTAGCAAATGTCTGTGCCTCAGGCCTGTGATGCCGTATTCAATCTCCGAAAAGTCCCCAAAACGACATACCGTGGAGGTTGTTGTTGTTGTTGTTGTTGTTTTTCTCCCATCATTGGACTCTGTCGTCTGCCCCTCTGGCCCCTATCCTCCACTTCTACTCGCTAGACGACCCAACCGGGGTCACATAGGAGGGGGGGGTTGGACCCCTCCTGCGGTTCATGCCTGAGGTATTTTTATCGCGAGAAGGGTACAGCAATCCCTTCCCTCGCGACTTACGAAGTCGATTATGGATTACTAGCAAACGAGCTTTGCAGCGCGTCGCTTTCATCCTAGATCAGGATTTATTTAGTGAGAAAAAAACTCTCTCTGCCGGGACTCGAACCAATGACCTGGCCCTTACCAGACTGCGAAGCTACCCACTAGACCACCGGGGCGACCGGAGGTATATCAAACCGGTTCGCAGTTGTTGCTGACCAACTCACTCCTACAGCATACGCATCTTTACAATTTCAAGGATAAACGCCAGCGGGCGAACTCAACCACACGCTCAATGAGTTGCGTATGCGATAGGATAAGGTTTGATTTCGCTACGCTCCAACAATATTGCACGCATCATTCTTGGCTTGTTTCGCAAAGCTCCAACAACAATTCCAAATCCCGTATGCTCGCGAAAGAACCACGAACCGTTGGTCGAGACACGCAACAGACTGATGCTACGGCGGCATGGGGATCACCTCATCTAACACTTTCGGGTAGGGAGACGTACTCTTCGCCAAACCTGTCGGTTGCAGCGTTTCGATGCAGCATCACCAAACAGGGCTAGAAATTTATTTCCTGCCAAAAGAGCAAGATGCCACCCGAAGAGTGCACCTCCCTACCGAAGCATCATCTGATCCTACCACCTACCGCCCTCTAACTCCCGGGCCTGCTCTCCTGGGCTGCGTCAAAATTCTTGGAACGAACGCTCCGCCACTACCTCCGGCAATACGACCCCCTCTCCGACTACCACTTCTACCGGTTCCACTGCTGTTAGTACTATTCCCAACGCCTTCTAGCGAATCGAAACCTGGGGACGTTCGGCTCCCGTCCCCTCCCTCGTCGTCGCTGCTCCACATGTCTTGGTCCTCCGTGGCTTCGCCCAGCCTCCGGTTCGTGCCGCCGGCGCCGGCCGCAAGGGGGGGGGATAGGTACGACGCCCGAGACGCCCACGGGGCCCCAGCGGCGGACCAGAGGAGCACAAGGCCGTCGGCGCCACACGTGACCACCTCTTGTGTTCGGGGTCGGTAAGCGCAGCACTGCACCGGATCAAAGTGGCCCCGCAGCTGCCTGTGTGTGTGGCGGGGGGGTGGGCAAGATG